CGTGGCCAATGATAATCTTCAGTTTGTCGACTGACACAGAAATATTTGAAAGCAGATTTCCTCAATTTCTAGAGTTTATGGCACTCCAAACTGTAGTAAAAGGTCCTTATTAGCATATCCATATCAATGAAGATCTCCAACTGGCTTTGACACAATGAAAAATGTTCAGGATGTTTTCCTTCTGAAATAATATTAGTCTGCTAGACAACACAAAGGCAAAAAGAGTTTTGCTGCTGATTTTAAAACCACATATGTAGTTACCAGTATCCTTAAACTATTTAAAGTGCATTTAAAATTCCATTTCGGTAGGAATTTTTGACATTAAAGCATAAAGTAGTTGGAATTGGTGGTAAAAACAAAATGGCACTGAAATGCATTTATTTTTCTTTTAAATTACTCCTTAAGTAAAAAACGCCGAGATACGTAAACTGAATTTTGGGTCGTAGATTACGGACCTGTATACCGTTTCCTGAAGGTAATTTTCCTAAGATATTTTAATTTTTATGAAGAAAAATTCAAAATTTAACAAGGAAACAAACAAAAAATAATATAATTTTTTTCCAAAAAAATAAAGCTACTAAAGATGAATATCTATGGATAAATAAACAACTTTTAAATGGTTAAATGAAAATTACGATATTAGCGGCAGGAAATAATGTTACTCATACGCCATGTCGTACATGGCCTTACTCTGTACATACTCGTACATGGCATACATATGAGTTAATTATACCTTTCATGAGGGGCACCGAAATTGCGCATATGGAAACTGTGCATTTAGACATTATTTCGGTTTCAACCGAAACTGTGCATGTATGCTTTATTTCGGTTTTAAACCGAAACTGTGCATGTATGCATTATTTCGTTTTTTTTCATATGCATTATTTCGCTTTTAAAACGAAAGTATGCATATGCATACCTTCGTCTTTCACATATGCATTATTTCGGTTTTCATCCGAAACTGTGCATGTATGCTTTATTTCGGTTTTTGCCATATGCATTATTTCGGTTTTGAACTGAAATTGTGCATGCATGCATTATTTCGGTTTTTGTTATATGCATTATTTCGTTTTTCTAACGAAAGTGTGCATATGGATAATTTCGTTTTTTCCTAATATGAATTATTTACTTCTACTTAGTAAGGGTTTTAATCCCTAAGCGCGGCTGAAAGCCGCCTACGCAGAGAGAAGTTCTGCGCAAAAATACTTCCGCCCTTCTCTTCCGGCAACACAGAAAGGAGAATTCTACTTAGTAAGGGTTATAATCCCTAAGCGCG